AAAAAAAAAAAAAAGATTCTCTGTTTCCCTCTTGCTCCTCTCCCCACTCACACATGCCCGCTAGCTTTCTCTCTCTCTCAGAAAGAAAAATTGTGTAGCTAATATAGCTAGTCTTTAAATTTCACCAGCTAATAATAATGCAAGAGTGATTCTTGAGTTTAGGTGGTAACATGAGTAACATATTAAGACTTGCTGTGTCTCCAAGAGTTTTACACATTTTAACTCATTGAATAAGTAGCTTACTGAAGGTTCTAAAGCCAGTAAGTGGAAGATCTTTGATACGAACCTTGGGAGGTTAGCTTTAGAGTTCACTCTCTTAAACACAGTGTTATGGTTATGTGTAATAAACAATTAGAAGCATTATAAATATCAAAATTAGGGGATTGATTGAGTAAATTATAGTATATTTGAAATGGAATACTGTACAGCTATTGGAGGTGACAGGTATGTATCAGTACAGAAAAATGTTCACAGTATGTCATGAGGTTACAGTTTATGTAACATACTATTCTGTCAGAAAGAAATATGTGTAATGTGCATAGCAAAACTGAAAGGATACTCATCAATTTCTGGATGATGAGATAATGGGAGACTTGTCTTTATTTTCACATTTTTTGAAATGAATGGGTATTATTGGTAATCAGGAAAATATACTAAAAGAGGTAATACACAGGGGCGCCTGGGTGGTTGTCATTAAGCGTCTGCCTTTGGTCATGATCCCTGGGTCCTGAGATCAAGCCCCGCATTGGGCTCCCTGCTCAGTGGGAAGCCTGCTTCTCCCTCTCCCACTCCCCCTGCTTGTGTTCCCTCTCTCGCTGTGTCTTCTCTCGCTGTCAAATAAGTAAATAAAATCTTAAAAAAACAAAGTAATACACATTCTTTTATTTTTAATTGAATTAACTTTTTAAAATTCAGTTAATTAACATATAATGTATTATTGGTTTCAGAGGTAGAGGTCAGTGATTCATCAGTCTCATATAATACCCAGTGTTCATTATATCACATGCCCTCCTTAATGTCCATCACCCAGTTACCCCATCCCCCCACCCCCTTCCCTCGAGCAACCCTCAGTTTCCTACAATTGAGAGTCTTTTATGGCTTGTCTTCCTCTCTGATTTCACCTTGTTTTATTTTTTCTTCCCTTCTCCTATGATCCTCTGTTTTGTTTCTTAAGGTTTTGGGGTTTTTTTGTTTTTTTTTTGACAGAGAGATAGAGAGCACAAGCAGGGGGAGCAGCAGGCAGAGGCAGAGGGAGAAGCAGGCTTTCTGCCGAGCAGGGAACCCGACTTGGGGCTTGATCCCAGGACGCTGGGATCATGACCTGAGCTGAAGGCAAACGCTTAATTGACTGAGCCACCCAGGCACCCCTGTTTTGTTTCTTAAATTCCACATATCAGTGAGATCATATGATAATTGTCTTTCTCTGATTGACTTATTTTGCTTAGCATAATACCGTCTAGTTCCATCCACGTCGTTACAAATGGCCAAGATTTCTTTTTTTTGATGGCTGAGTAGTATTTCATTGTATATATACCACATCTTTATCCATTCATCTGTCAGTGGACATCTGGGCTCTTTCCATAGTTTGGCTATTGTGGACAGTGCTGCTATAAACATTGGGGTGCAGGTGCCCCTTCAGATCACTACATTTGTATCTTTGCACCCAGTAGTGCGATTGCTGGGTCGTAGGGTAGCTCTATTTTCACCTTCTCGAGGAACCTCCAAGCTGTTTTCTAGAGTGGCTGCACCAGCTTGCATTCCCACCAACAATTTCAGAGGGTTCTCCTTTCTCCACATCCTCGCCAACATCTGTCATTTCCTGACTTGTTAATTTTAGCCATTCTGACCTCTGTGAAGCGATATCTCATTATGGTTTTGATCTGTATTTCTCTGATGCCGAGTGATGTTGAGCATTTTTTCATGTGTCTGTTGGCCATTTGTATGTCTTCTTTGAAGAAATGTCTGTTCACGTCTTCTGCCCATTTCTTGATTGGATTATTTGTTCTTTGGGTGTTGAGTTTGATAAGTTCTTTATAGATTTTGGATACTAGCCCTTTATCTGCTATGTCATTTGCAAATATTTTCTCCCATTCTGTCGTTTGTCTTTTGGTTTTGTTGACTGTTTCTTTTGCTGTGCAAAAGCTTTTTATTTTGATGAAGTCCCAATAATTCATTTTTGCCTTTGTTTCCCTTGCCTTTGGAGATGTGTCTCGCAAGAAGTTGCTTCAGCCAAGGTCACAGAGGTTGCTGCCTGTGTTCTCCTCTAGGATTTTGATGGATTCCTGTCTCACATTTAGGTCTTTCATCCATTTTGAGTTCATTTTTGTGTATGGTAAAGGAGTAGTCTAGTTTCCTTCTTCTGCATGTGGATGTCTAATTTTCCCAGCACCATTTGTTGAAGAGACTTTTTTCTTTTCTTTTCTTTCTTTCTTTCTTTTTTTTTTTTTTTAAGATTTTTAATTTATTTATTTGACAGAGAGAGAGAGCACAAGTAGGCAGAGTGGCAGGCAGAGGGAGAGGGAGAAACAGGCTCTCCACTGAGCAGGGAGCCCGACCTGGGGCTCAATCCCAGGATCCTGGGATCATGACCTGAGTCGAAGGCAGCCATTTAACTGACTGAGCCACCCAGGCGCCCCCTGAGTCTGTCTTTTTTCCATTGGATATTCTTTCCTGCTTTGTTGGAGATCAGTTGACCATAGAGTTGAGGGTCCATTTCCGGGTTCTCTTTTCTACTGATCTATGTGTCTGTTTTTGTGCCAGTACCATACTGTCTTGATAATTACAGCTTTAAGTCTAGAATTGTGATGCCACCAATTTTGGTTTTCTTTTTCAACATTCCTTTGGGTATTTGGGGTCTTTTCTGGTTCCATACAAATTTTAGGATTACTTGTTCCAGCTCTGAAAAAAGTTGATGGTATGTTGATAGGGATTGCATCGAATGTATAGATTGTTCTAGGTAGCATAGACATGAGTATGGAACATTTTTCCATTTCTTTATGTCTTTCTCAGTTTCTTTTCATGAGTGTTATGTAGTTTTCTGAGTACAGATTCTTTGCCTCTTTGGTTAGGTTTATTCCTAGGTATTTTATGGTTTTGTTGTAAGTGGGATTGACTCCTTAATTTCTCTTTCTTCTGTCTCATTAGTACACATTATTTTATTTATTTATTTTTTTAAAGATTTTATTTTTTCATGAGAGACAGAGGAGGAGAGAGAGAGAGGGAGAGAGAGAGAGAGAGAGAGAGAGAAGCAGAGGGAGAAGCAGGCTCCCAGGGATCAGGGAGCCCGATGTGGGACTCGATCCCAGGACCCTGGGATCATGACCTGAGCCGAAGGCAGACGCTTAACCATCTGAGCCACCCGGGCGCCCAGTATACATTATTTTAAATAAAGATTGGAAAATAGAAAGAAGAATAGCAATAATCCTACTATCTCCTATCAGTTTTTTAGTATAATTTCTTCATTCTTTATATGTAGATCTTTTTAGTAGTTGTAATCTATAATTATATAGTTTTATATAGCCTGGTCTTTTCACCTAACCATATATAACCTTTTTTTCATATTATTAAATATTTTATAGAAACATTTTTAAATTACATAAAGGGATGTATTCAGTTCCTATTTCGGAATATTTAAGTTGTTTTGAAGATTTTGCTGTTATATGTAATGCTCGGTGAACATCTTTGTACATAAATTTTTTCTCTCTTTTGAGTTATTTTCTTTCTTTTTTTTTTTTTAAGGATTTTATTTATTTATTTGACAGAGAGCGAGAGCAGGAACACAAGCAGGGGTAGTGGGAGAGGGAGAAGCAGGCTTCCTGCCGAGCAGGGAGCCCGATGTGGGACTCAATCCCAGGACCCTGGGATCATGACCTGAGCCGAAGGCAGACGCTTAACGACTGAGCCACCCAGGCGCCCTTGAGTTATTTTCTTTAGGGTAGATTCATGGAAATGGAGTTATTGGGTAGATTTTGACAAGTAATTAGGGGGCTACAGGGAGGAAGAGGAATGAACACTTTCAGAATTGACACTGTGTACTTCATATGTAATCCATCTAGAGACCCAGAATGTGAGGTTATGAGGCTAGTAGAGATGCCAAGAGTGATCACTGGGTTAAGGTGGTAACATTTTAGTTTAATAGGAGATTGGCCTACCTTGTTACCTATAATCTTCCCTAATCCCCTGAAATGAAAGTCACTGCTGCTTTCACTAAATGTCTTATAGCATATTGCTTGTGCTCCTCACTTGGCACTTTCCTATTCTCATTTGTTTTATATTTGTATTTGTCTAGGTAGAGGGTCCCTTGAGGGCAAGTCTCTTGTTTTCCTCTCATCTAGCATTGTCTTGAATGTATCATATATTACATATATATTAGATGTGTGATGTAAAGAAGCATTAATTAATAACCTTCTGAGATCTTAAATTGCTCCCTTATGTGTAACATCACTGTTTTGGAATAAGTTTCAGAAATCTAGTAACATACTTTAAACTGTAGAATTGAAAAATGGACCTGACTTATTAATATTAATTTTTTATTTTAATTTTTGAGTGGATTCCTGTACCTTTGGTAGAGGTTGTACTCTGATATAAAACTTCGGCAAAGGTGGACTGCCAACTTAGGAAAATGTAAGGTAGCAGTGGGCACTCTTTTGACTGCCCAGTTTGGTACAAGGGGGAAGTCACATATTTTCGTTTGACTTCTGTCCACTTCTTGTTCCTTCTTCCATTTGGGTGGGTGTTCAGATAGCTTGTGGGTAGAGAATTTTTAATTTCTTAGTGTTCTGTATTGTCAGTGGGCTTATAATATTTATTGTTGGCTTTTCCCAGGTTGGATTTTGATGATGATGGAGAAGGGAACAGTAAATTTTTGAGGTAAGATTTTTAAATTTTTTCTCTAGATTTCTGATACTAAAAATTAGTTCATGATCTTTATTTCTGACTTGTAATATTTTTGTCCTTAGGCCTAAGGTGAGTGCTGTATCCTAAAACTAAAGTTTCCTGTTGTATTATACCTCATAAAGTTTTCAAGCATTTTGTTAATGTAATGGTTCCAGAGGAAGGAGCTCAGTGAAGAGAGGGCAGAGAATTTCCAAGACCCTTTGTTACGGTTGCTGTGTGATTTAAAAACAATAACAATTTTTTATTTCTCAAATGCTGTGCATTGGCTGGATGGTTATTCTGTTTTCTTTGTGGTCTTTTATCCTTAAGGAGGTCAAACTGAATTTCTTTACATGCCGATGGCTACAATCTGAAAGGCAAGACCCAGTCTAAGTGCTTATCAAGCCTCTGCTTTGTATTGACATTTGCTGGTGTTCCATTGGCCAAAGTAAATTTTATGTCCCAAGTCCTGAATCAGTGTGTTAGGAGGCTAAGGTGTAATTCATTGAGGGGTCATATACCTTTCATACTTTCTGATACCTGTTGACTTCTACAGAGCAGGAATTAGAATTTGTATCCTTGAATAATGAATCTTCTGGAGCACTGAATATGGACTTTTTGCTATATTAATGGAGGAGTTCTTTCAGAGAAGGGAAATACTTTCTCCTGCTAAAGACCAAAGCAGTAAGAGTCAAAGAAAGGGAGATAACCTTGACTGCAACTTGCCGTTTTTCCTTTCCAAAGTTGAAAATATTACCTAGGTGGGTCTACTTTGTTGAGTAACAAATATTTAATAAAGGAGCCCTATTAAAAAAAAAAGCCATTATTTTATTATGTGAGTGTCCAGATTTCATTTGTCATATTTTTTTTTTTTTTAAGATTTTATTTATTTATTTGACAGAGAGAGACACAGCAAGAGAGGGAACACAAGCAGGGGGAGTCGCAGGGAGAGGGAGAAGCAGGCTTCCCACAGAGCTTGGAGCACGATGCGGGGCTCGATCCCACCTCCTGGGATCATGACCTGAGCCAAAGGCAGATGCTTAACGACTGAGCCACCCAGGCGCCCCTTCATTTGCCTTATTAACTAGATCTTAAAAAGTAATATATTTTTTAAGTTTTTAAACAGTGCAAAGTAGTTATGTGTAGTGCAGGTATGTCTTCCTTTCACTTCAGACCTTTTCCTTAGACAACTACAGTTTCCAGTTTATTGAGTATCCTTTTAGAAATTTTAGTACATATGTAAGTGTATTTAAATGTATATGTGTGTACATACATTTATAATGTCCTAAGTTTTTGTTTTTGTATGGAGAATGTCCATATTGTAAATTCCTTGCCATTGTTTAGTTTTATAATGCTTAAGTTCCATCAGAGACATCTGTTTTTTTTCATTTTAATAAATTTTATTTAGGCTTATGTTTCTCACTACTAACTAGTTGCTGAGTCCTACCAGATATTCTTGAAAACAACTGTAACTTGGATACCGTAAAGAAATAGTCGAAGAACATTGGAGAAAATAATTCTCCAAGAGAGCTCTTGAGACTTAATGAGTATTAATAAATATGAAGAGGGGAAGATACTTCAATTTTGGGGGAAGGATAGACCTTTTTTTTTTTTTAAGATTTTATTTATTTATTTGTCAGAGAGAGAGAACAAGCAGGGGGAGCAGCAGGCAGAGGGAGAAGCAGGCTCCCCGCCGAGCCTGATGCCGAACTCCATCCCAGGACCCTGGGTTAATGACCTGAGCTGAAGGCAGGCACCCAACTACCTGAGCCACCCAGGCATCCCAAACTGTTTTTCAAACAGTTCTGGGAATTCTTCCAATTGGGAATCCGTAATTGTAATGATAGATGCTATTGGTGGAACTGTATTGTGCATATGAATGGCATAGAAGTAACCACTAGTCTTTTTTTTTTTTTTTAAGATTTTATTTATTTATTTGACAGCAAGAGAGAGACAGCAAAGACAGGGAACACAAGAAGGGGGGGGAGTGGGAGAGGGAAAAGCAGGCTCCCCGTGGAGCAGGGAGCCCGACAAGGAGCTCGATCCCAGGACCCTGGGATCATGACCCGAGCTGAAGGCAGATGGTTAACCGACTGAGCCACCCAGGCACCCCGCTGCTAGTCTTATTTATATTTCTCAGTTAGCTCTGACCCTGAGTCATTGTCTTTATTTCCACAAAACCTAGTAGTCACAAAGTATATGCAGATCCAGAAAGGTTTATTTGTTCTTTCCCCAACCATAAAAAAAGACTGTCACAATTCATTTTACCTAGTGGGTCATTATGCCTGAGAGAGGCATCACCAAATTTCTTTATCTTTTTTTTTTTTTAAACAATTGGAATTTTCCACTCTGGTCAGTGTGTGAAAGCCTTACTTGCATTGTATCCCTAAGTCAGCACTAAATCTCCTTGGTTGATGCTACTTTTGAAAGTTGTAATTTGGTCTGGGTTGACTCAGTTGGTAGAGCATGCATCTCTTGATCTTGGGGTTGTGAGTTCGAGCCCCACATTGGGCCTAGAGATTACTTACCAAAAAAATGTAATTCAGTAGGCCTGGGGTAGGGCCCAAGGTTCTGTGTTCTGCTTCATTTCTGGAATCTGCTTCCAGCCACTGACCATACTTTCAGTAGTAAGGATCTAGAAGACTCATTCTTGAGATTCAAAGTTAATATATAAATTATAGGTCTCTCTTTTCAGTTTAGGTTACATGTTTTCACTAGGAGTTAGTAGCATCTGATTTAAAGCATATTTTGTGTCATAGGAACGGACCATTTGTACTTGAGCTGGAATTCAGTTACATCTCCATTTTTGCCCATTCTTCTGCTCTCCTGTTATTTTCAAAAATTGAAAATTCTTGGGGTTGGATTAGTTGAGGATTTACAGCCTGTGAAGGAGCAGTATAAATTTTGGCTCTAATTTAATAACTGGCTTAACTGCAAATTTTGTGACACTTACCTATCTCCCAAAAGCACTTTCTGTCCAAAGTTGATAGATCTTTGCTATATCCTGTGGCAGTGAGAAGAGGAAAATTTAGATCATCCAGAGAGTAGAGTAGTGTTTTTAAAGTTAGATTTTCCTCCCTCAACAAATCCTGTAGTTTCTTTCTTTAGCAGATATGATTTATTGGCTTATTAAGTAGAAGTTGTTGGGATGAATGGATTGTGTTTCCTTGATCAGAGAGATAACATTGTTCATGTCATAATACAAAACTATCTCTTAAAAATTTCTGTGCATCAGTTGATAGAAAACAGTGAAAAGATAACCCATGTAATGGGAGAAAATATTTGCAAATCATATATCTGATAAGAGGTTAATATCTATAATATATGAAGAACTACCATAACTCAATAATAAAAAAAACAGCCTGATTAAAAATTGGCAGATGACTTGGAATAGACGTTTTTCCAAAGAAGGTATGCAAAAGGCCAACAAGCATATGAAAAGATGTTCAACATCACTAATCGTTAGAGAAATGAAAATTGAAACCACAGTGAGATACCACCTCACACCCATGATGAGGGCTACCATCAAAGAAACAGAAAATAAATGTTGGGTAAGGATGTGAAAAAGAAGGAACCCTTATGCACTGTTGGAATGTAAACGGTAAATTTAACTACTGGAAAACAGTATGGAGATTCCTCAAAAAACTAAAAACAGAATCATCGTATGATTCAGCAGCCCCACTTCTGGTTGTAAATATCCAAAATAATTGAAAACAGGGTCTTAGATATTTACACACTCTTGTGCACTGTCCCATTTTCACAATAGCCAAGAGGTGGAATCAACCCAAATATTCACTGGCAGATGAATGCATAAAGAAAATGTGGCATATATGTCCAATGGAATGTTGTTCAGCCTTAAAAAGGAAGGAAATCCTGGCATATGCTACAACATGGATGAATGTTGAGGACATTATACTAAGTAAAATAAGCCAGTCATAAAAAGAGACTATATGATTTCACTTATATGAGGTATCTAAAATAGTCAAAATTAGAGATTGAAAGTACAGTGATGGTTACCAGGAGCTGGGGGTTGGGTGGGGAGCAGATGGGAAGATGATGTTTAGTGTATATAGAGTTTCAGTTTTGCAAGATTAGAAAGTTGTATAGATCTGTTACACAACAATGTAAATATAGTTAACACTACCGAATTGTACTCTAAAAATTGGTTAAGATGGTCAATTTTATGTTCCTTGTTTTTCTGCCATAATTAAAACTATCCCTAATCTCAGAGTGGTGCTGACAGGGCAGTCCGTTGTGCCCTCATGAGATCATCCTCTTTTTTTTGGAGTGTCTCATAAGTAAGGGTAAAGGAGAACGTCGGAAACCTGACAAATAATAGTCATGGGTCTCTTAAGTTCTTTGGGATGATATTACAATCTCTATCGCTTTGTGATGGTTTTCCATTGGCTTTTTTTTTTCTGTTGAATATTTTTACTCCTTTCTAGTTTTTATTTCAGAGGAAGTAGATATAACAAGTATAATGCTTTGGGCTAATCTTATTTTTCTTTCTTAGGTGTGATGATGATCAGATGTCTAATGATAAGGAGCGGTTTGCCAGGTAATGTAGTAGAGCATCTTGGGCCATGTTGTGGAACCAGGCAGTTCAAGTGTATTGAGTTTAATTTGATCTCATTAGGAGTTAATTTCTCTGTCAGTCTTCTTCCTACTCTGAAAGCTGACAAAATTTAGTATGACAGTTATTGTTTATGTTCAGTTAACATGACTTCAGACTGATGGTACAGTTTACACAGTGTTTTTATGTATATGATAGGCAGCTATACAGTGTGCTTGCTGGGTGTCCACAGGAACACAAGTTACGGATTTCATGGTTGTATTTTTTATTAAATCGGTCCGCAAAACCTATACAGGTAATAGTTTTCCTTTAAAAATGGCAACAGAAATAATTTTTGTGGAGATGAATTTTGATTTTAATAAATTTATTTAAATTTTAAGATTATGAAAAATACTTCGCTTTTCATCAACTCAGATGTACAAACTTGAGAAGGATTTATGAATAAAAAGCAAGATTCTTTTTAGAAAGTTCATTCTGTATATTTTAAACAGTAAATTAGTTTGTTTTTTTTTTAAGATTTTATTTGACAGAAATAAATATTTATAATAAATATTTATTATTATAAATAAATAAATAAAATCTTATTTATTTTAATAAATAAGGGGTGGCAGGCAGAGGGAGAAGCAGACTCCCTGCTGAGCAGGGAGCCCGACGCGGAACTTGATCCCAGGACCCCGGGATCATGACCTGAGCCGAAGGCAGATGCTTAACCGACTGAGCCACCCAGGCGCCCAAATTAGTCTGTTTTGTAAAAATTGAGTTTGCAGCCACCTCAGAAAAATGAATAATCAAAAATCCAGAGCTTAACTGAGTTCTTATATTTATTGCTGATGTTGCTAGTCTGGGGACCAAACCTTGAGAACCACTGATGTAGAGGGCTAGTACCAGTCAGAGTAGCTTATAACTATCTGAAGCAGTAAGATGCCATCATGGGCTTTGAATAAGAGATTTTAATAAATAAAATGCATATGGGATTTTCTTTAGTAGCAGTGTATAGGATTGATTAAAGAGAAGCACAATAGTTAGGGAGGTAGATGCGAGGGTGAATAATAAGATAGCTATAAAATCATGAGTGCCTGGGCTGGAGTGGAAGCAATAGCAATAGGAAAGGAGTGAATTTAAGAGATTTTCAAGTAATTTATTTATTGAAATAGTTATAAATACTTTAGGGTATAAACCGTCTCTAAAATGAGAAGTTAATTATAGATATTTGGGGAATAGTTTCTCAAGCTGCGGTGGAAAGTCAGGCCATCCTGGGCACCTGGCTGGCTTAGTCAGTAGAGCATGCAGCTCCTGTTCTTAGGGTCCTGAATTCAAGCCCCACGTTGGATGTAGAGATTGCTGAAAGAAAGAGAAAGAAAGAGAGGAAAGAAAAGAAAGATAGATAGAAAGATAGTCAAGCCATCAAGTAGTACTGGTCATACAGGTTAACAGTCTCTTGACTGAAATTCCAAAAAGCTATGAAGACGTGACTTGAATTATTTTAGTCTTCATTTGTTGTACTTAGTATAAATATTTATACATTCACATATTTCATTCAGAAATACTAGAGTGGTTAAGGGATTATGGATTTGTAGTAGTAGTAGTAATAATGGGAATTTTAGATATTTAACTTTCTTTCAGACAACTTAGGTTGTGCCAATTCACCTCACATACTCTCCTTGGGAATTCAGTAGGTCTATAAAGCTGAAAATGTATCTATTTTCTCAATTCTTTGAAAAAAGGATTTGTAGTTTGTTAAGGAACCATAATAACCAATGAACATGAAACTTTACTGAATATAAGGCAATTCTCTTGTGTTTCTCATCAGTATAGGTAAATTTCATATTTATGTTCTTATTACTGTGTTATTTTGGGTCTCTTTTTTTCCTGTTTCCCAGGTATTGCTATTCATTGTGTACATGTCTTTTTTTTTTTTTTTTTTGAGATTTATTTATTTTAGAGTGAGAAAGAGAACAAGCAAGTCAGTGAGCATGGGAGGGAAGGCTAGGGGGAGAGAGACAGAATCCCAAGCAGGCTCCACACCAACCACAGAGCCTGTCATGGGGCTCCATCTCACCATCCTGAGATCATGACCTGAGCCAAAACCAAGATTCGGACGCTTAACCGACTGCGCCACCCAGGTGCCTCTGTACCTGTCACTTTTAATAATGAAATAGTGTTTCAGCCTGTTAATATATCATGCTTACTTAGACATATTTGAGGCTTCTTAATCTATATCTATATATATTGTTTTTAATGGAATTGATTACTGATATACTGGCCTACCAACACCTTGATGTTTCTTCAGTTGCCACCAACCCTTATAGTTTTCAGTTTTCCAGAAAAACTTAATGGTAATCCTTTGTAGCCCCCTCCAGGAGAGGGGGAGTTGACAGTGGGGATCCAGCAGTTTTGGGGCTTTACTGCAAAGAAATGGGAGAGTGAATAAATAGAAATTTACTACTTTAGTATCCAGTCAATGATAGGGGATGTGCCAGAAACCTAATTCTTAAGTTTTATTTATGTAATTTCTCCAGTGAAACCTCTTCGGTTATTTTGTCTATGAGAGCATAGGTGTGTGTCTGCGTGTTACAGAGAGATTGTATTTGTGATCATTTAACATTCTTACCATGATTTACTCTTTGGTTTTTTATTATAGAATAGCATATGTGGGGGCACCTGGGTGGCTCAGTTGGTTAAGTGGCCAACTCTTGATTTTGGCTTAGGTTGTGATCTCGGGGTCCTGGGATCAAGCCCCACGTCAGACTCTGCTCTTAGTAGGGAGTCTGCTTGAGTATTCTGTCTCTCCCTCTCCCTCTGCACCTTCCCCCCTCTCTCAAATAAATAAATAAATCTTAAAAAAAAAAAAAAGAATAGCATATGTGGATATCATTTTATTTCCAGATTGGGAGCAGTGTGTGAGAATGGTATTCCCTCGTTTGGTTCTTGTTCAAACTATATATTGTTGGTCTGTACAGAGATTGATTGGCAAAATGCTTTCTGTGTTCAGACTATGTTAATTTATAATGAATATTGGCCTTGCTTTTATGTCAACCTTTGTCCTGTAAGTTACTTTTTTTTATCCTAACAAATGGCTTTGTAGAGTTATGGGCAAGGTTCCTGTCCATATGTTAATTTTCCCTTCTCTGCATCTATTTTGTTCTATTTCCTTTTTCCTTTCCTTTCCCCTCTACTTCCTTCCATCAATCCATCCATCCATCCCTCTTTTTTTCTTTCTTTTTATTTTAATTTTAGCTTAGTTCATTAATTCTATTTTTAGGTCGGATGATGAGCAGAGCTCTGCGGATAAAGAGAGACTTGCCAGGTAGGAGAACAGTGTCTTTCAGCATGATGAAGCAGATGATGCTGCTTTTTCCTTTTTCTTACTCTGCTCTTTTCTTCCCCTTTCTCTTTGTGTTTTTCCTTATCTGTGGCAAGAGAGGACAAGATTTTTTAGAAGTTTGTGTGTAACAGGAACTTTGGCCTCCCCCATCAGAAAGTGGGTGAGTTGAGGGAACTTTACTAAGGAATTTAAGAAATTGCTATTAGTTTAATAGTTTTCTCTTTTCCTCTTTATCTCAGCACTGTTTCACAGAATAAAAGGCTTTAGAAGCAGGGCAGTGGTGCCAGTTGGTGCTTTAGCAGGGGCATACTTTTTTATCAGAAGACTAATATATTTGTGTTTGCAATTGGTTCCCAATATTTAGGCCTTAGCATTTATTCCGTACCTCTCTAGAAAGCACACCCTTATTTTCCTGTGTAGACTCACAGGCTAGATTACTGTGTCAAACAGTACTGGTCTTGCTTTGGTGATTGAATCTTTTATGGTTTTCCAGAAAAGTTTTAGCAGCCTTGATGTGGCTTTTTAAAAGAGTAGCCTTCTGGACTTCGGTGTCAGAAATCTGTCAGATACTAGGAGGATGGGTGCTTTAAGTTTGAAAGTAGAATTTTATGTTTCTCAGGCAAATTAACAAATACACACTTACGTGGTGAGATCTTTTTGCCATTTGGAAAGGAGACTCTAGAGTTCTCTTTGGAGACTATTGTCAATAAGGTAGAAATACTAGGATACTAATGGTGTGCCCAAATTTTTCTATTTTCTTGCTTCTGTGATTTGGGACCACTCAGTAAGAGATAGATCATTGATACCAATACCTGTTTTACTACTTTACCCCCTCAACTCATTACATTTTTCAGCGCGGCCACAAGCTCATTTTGTTGTCATTTCCTGCTAACTCTTTAAGTCTTCAGAAAGCTGATTTGGCATGGTATGGTGGGAAAACCATTGCATTAATTGGGAATGAATGCTGCCTTTGGGAAAGTCATTTAGTTAACTTCTTAACCTTAGTTCTTCTCATGAAGAGATTTATGTTAGACCAGTTGTTTTTATTTTTCTTTTTGTTTTGACAAAGAACTTTTATTCAGATAGGATCCTTAAGTGGTAATGGAAGTGAATAAAAAAGATAAAGCAAAAGCTGCTCAAGGAGAAGCAGAAATGCAGCATGTTGTTTTGTTCTTTCTTTGAGGCATCCCTGTAGAAGACACTGAGGAACTATGGGGCTTTTCAGAAATCCAACTTGAAAACTACTGGATTATTATTTTTTAACAATGATAAGATTTGTTTTGATTTTGAGGAAATCAGCATTGGAGATGTGATCCACTTACCCTGTTGAGATCCAAATTGTCTGTTTTCAGGCCTTTTCCTCCCCACTCCACTATTACTCTCTAATTCATTTTGCTCCAGCTGGGGACCCAGAAGGGACCTCTAGTAGATATCTTTTTTTTTTTATTTTATTTTATTATGTTATGTTAGTCACCATACAATACATCATTAGTTTTTGACATAGTGATCCACGATTCATTGTTTTCCTATAACACCCAGTGCTCCACGTAGTACGTGCCCTCCTTAATACCCATCGCCGGGCTAACACATCCCCCCACCCCCCTCCCCTCTAAAACCCTGTTTATTTCTCAGAGTCCATAGTCTCTCATGGTTCATCTCTCCCTCTGATTCCCCCCATCATTTTTCCCTTCCTTCTCCTAGTGTCGTCCATGATATTCCCTATGTTCCACAAATAAGTGAAACCGTATGGTAATTGACTTTCTCTGCTTGACTTATTTCACTTAGCATAATCTCCTCCAGTCCCATCCATGTTGATGTAAAAGTTGGGTATTCATCCTTTCTGATGGCTGATTGATATTCCATTGTATATATGGACCACATCTTCTTTATCCATTCATCTGTTGAAGGGCATCTCGGCTCTTTCCACAGTTTGGCTATTGTGGACATTGCTGCTATGAACACTGGGGTGCATATGGCCCTTCTTTTCACTACATCTGTGTCTTTGGGGTAAATACCCAGGAGTGCAATTGCTGGGTCATAGGGTAGCTCTATTTTTAATTTTCTGAGGCACCTCCACACTGTTTTCCAAAGTGGCTGTACCAACTTGCATTCCCACCAACAGTGTAAGAGGGTTCTCCTTTCTCTACAACCTCTCCAACATTTGTTGTTTCTTGCCTTGTCAGTTTTTGCCATTCTAACTGGTGTAAGGTGATATCTCAGTGTGGTTTTGATTTGAATTTCCCTGGTGGCTAATGATGATGAACATTTTTTCATGTGTCTGTTAGCCATTTGTATGTCTTCTTTGGAGAAGTGTCTGTTCATGTCTTCTGCCCATTTTTTGACTTGATTATTTGTTTTTTGGGTGTTGAGTTTGAGAAGTTCTTAATAGATCTTGGATACCAGCCCTTTATCTGTAGTGTCATTTGCAAATATCTTCTCCCATTCAGTGGGTTGCCTCTTTGTTTTGTTGACTGTTTCCTTTGCTGTGCAGAAGCTTTTTATCTTGATGAAGTCCCAAAAGTTCATTTTTGCTTTTGTTTCACTAGCCTTTGGAGATGTATCTTGAAAGAAGTTGCTGTGGCCAATGTGGAAGAGGTTACTGCCTATGTTCTTTAGGATTTTGATGGATTCCTGTCTCACATTGAGAGCTTTCATCCATTTTGAGTTTATCTTTATGTATGGTGTTAGAGAATGGTCAAGTTTCATTCTTCTGAATGTGGCTGTCCAATTTTCCCAGTACCATTTATTGAAGAGACTGTCTTTTTTCCATTGCATATTTTTTCCTGCCTTGTTGAAGATTATTTGACCATAGAGTTATCTTAAAATCTCTTAAGCTCAGTACACTGGCACCACACCCAGATAGAGAAGCTAGGACTTTGTGCCTTAGTGAGACAAAGAAAACTTCAAAATCTTCCAGTTCTGCCTTCTAGTGTTAAGAGTAAGAGAGAAGCTTAGAACAGGCAACATTTTATAGACCAAAGGAATCTGTACTGTCAGTTCGTTTATCAGTTGTTGGGCAGTATACTTGTGTTGGAAAAAACTGGTCATTTTATTTTCAGCCTTAAAAAGTTGAATTAGTAAACATGGAGTCAGCCAAACCAAGATTATTTGTCTCGGGAAATAACATGAATAAAATCAACATCTTTTAAGACTATCACTTTTTAAAACATTTTTTGCTTTGTTTGGGGGAGTGGTAATTTACATAGGAAGTGAAGTTTCCAGGAGATAGGGAGAATTGCTGGTATCTGTTTATTCTCTGTCTGCCTTGTTGGTTTCTATTCCATGCTTGTTCTGCATGAGAAGGTTGGCAAACTTGACTCTATCTTCCGAGACTTAAACACTCCTAAATCTAAAAACTACATTTCTTCAGCAGCTGACTCCGTATTTATATGACTCTTCCCGCCTCCCAAATGGCCAGATGTGACCACCTGGGTGGGGCTTCTCCTCTCTCCATGCAGGGAAAATCACAGTGAAATTGAACGGCGGCGACGGAACAAGATGACAGCCTACATCACAGAACTGTCAGACATGGTGCCCACCTGTAGTGCCCTGGCTCGAAAACCAGACAAGCTAACCATCTTACGCATGGCAGTCTCTCACATGAAGTCCTTGAGAGGAACTGGGAATACATCCACTGATGGCACCTACAAGCCTTCGTTCCTCACTGATCAGGTCTCTGGGATGTACAAATCTGAGATAGTCGAGAATCTGTTGAAAATTTTTATCTTTGCGGGGTAGATGACCATAATTCTAACTAGTGCCTTATATTGAGAGTCAGAGCCAAGATGAGTCTGTAGATTGCTTAAAGTACAAGAATTCACCTGTTAAGGAAAAATTCACACATGGGAAAGTAGTTTGAATTCCTGGCTATTATATTCATTAGCATTGGAACAGTGAGAAGTACAGAAGACTTGTGTAAGTTATTTAACAAGCTTATTAGGTATTTTATTTATTTTTTTAAAGATTGTATTTATTTTGAGAGAGCATGTGCGCACAGGCGGGGGTGGGGGAGGAGCAGACTCCCTGCTGAGCAGGGGACCCCCCCCCCGCCAACGCAGGGCTCAATTCCAGGACCCTGGGATCATGACCTGAGCTGAAGGCAGACACTTAACCAACTGAGCCACCCAGATGTCCCAAGCTTATATGTATTTTAAACTTCACTCATGAATATAGCCTATAAGGTGAAACAAGAGTAGAATTGTAGGAAGAAGAGATGACTGTGTCCATGGAACCTGTTCTCTTCCTTGGCTTTAGGGTTATAGAAGATGGAAGAAAACTGTTTCTTATTCCTGAAGCAGCTTTTAGTTTTAGTGATAAAAGGAGTCTGACAAGGCAGTCTTCGTTCCTTAGAGATGTGCTCTGTTACATGTAATGAGAAAAATAGGGAAGGCAAAAACATTTCTAGCCTCTCAGGAACTTAATCTGAGTATGAATATGTGAGTGAGTGGAAGTGAGTGTGAATATGAATTTTTGAGTGGCTGGATACACACATAGTGAAAAATGAGAAGAAAATGCATACAGAGAAGAAATATCTTCTTAAAATGATTATTTATTTATTTATTTATTTGAGAGATAACGAATGTGAGCAGGGGGAGGAGCAGAAGGAGAAGGAGAGAATCTCAAGCAGACTCCCCATTGAGCATGGAGCCCAGTGTGGGGCTAGATCTCCCGACCCATGAGATCATGACCTGAGCCAAAACCAAGAGTCGGACACAACTGACTGAGCCACCCAGGCACCCCGAGAAATAATCTTTCTTTAAAACTTACTAATAATTTATATGGGACTAGATAAATATATAGTGGAGGGATGGCTAAAGTGAATAGAATGACCAGGTTTGAGTGGGGATGGTTAGCAAAGATTTCTAAGAGTAAGAAAGGTATGTTCTCTTTTGATTATTAAAAATAATACATGGTTGTTGCAGAAAATTTTACAGGAAATATAAGGAAGAAAAAATTGACCTATAATGTCACTCTTTTATTCAGAGGATTAGAAGGAAGGAATGTGGTTTGGAAGAAAGCAATAAGAATGATTTTCCAAATAAGAGTTTCTATATGAAAACACATATAGCATGGATTTTAGATATATGTACTTTGAAATAGTTACTCAGTTAATCTAACAATACACATAGAGATACTGATTGAACAGACTCCAGTTTATGCACCTTTTGTGGGCTAACCAGGTGCTTTGTGCTATGAGAAGAACAGAGATAAGAGATGGTCACTAGTGGAAAGAGACATGTAAATAAATAAATCACAATATAAACACACGATTAGTTCTATCATAGAGGTGCAGTATTAAAGTCCTGTAGAAATATAAACGTGGAAAAGGAAAGGTAAGGGATTAGTGTCATAAATACTGTGAATAACTTGAGCAAATGCCTAGTGAGAATGATTGGATTATTCAAGGCAAATGAAATAGTTTAGCAAGCCTTGGGAGATGACAATAGGGAGGTAGGCTGGGACCTGATCATGTAGTATTTAGGTGTTATGTTACAGAATTTAGATATTAATTTTTAGGCAGTAGGGAGCCATCAAAAATGTGTCAGTCCGTGGGCCTGGGTGGCTCAGTCAGTTTAAGTGTCCGACTCTTGATTTTGGCTCAGGTCATGGTCTCAGAGTCATGAGATCAAGCCCTGAGTTGGGCTCTGCGCTGGGCATGGAGCCTACTTGGGATTCTCCTTCTCTTTCTGCCCCTCCCCATCTCTCTCCCCAAAAAAATTATATTCGTTGATACAGAGCATTTTAAGGCTGGATTTGAGACTTGGCATAAGATAACTAGGACAATGATGTAGTTATTGGAAATAGAATTAATAAAACAGTTACCACTGGAGCAGGAGAGAGAGTAATTAGATTTTGAGTCTTGTAGCCTGAGAGGAAGGTGATACTGTTAATCAAGAAAGGAAATGCTAGAAGAGCACAGAGGATTATTCTTTGGAGGGGAAAATATGACCAGTTTTGAGATGTTGAAATTGAGTTGCTGGTAGAATATCTAAATTGCAAATGTTTTAACAGTTGGTTGGAATTTAGGTCTGCTTAAAGCTAAAGAAAAAAGTTTAGGCGAGTCTAGAGATACAGACTTGGGCATCATTTCATGGCAGGGAGGAGTGGATATAATTTCTCAGGGAGAGAATATGGTATAAATAGAGAAGAGAACTTAAGATAGAACCTTGGAAATATATATACTTAAGACTTGAACAAAGGGAAGGGTGCCTGAAGCAGAGAAGGGACGTTTAGAAAGGCAGCCAAAGTTGGAGGAGGGTGTAGTAGAAGCTAGAGGAAAATAAAAGGATGGAATGGATAACATTACCAGATTCTGGAGAGAGATTGGGTAACATGATAAAGACCCAGGAAAGGAGACTTGAATTGGCAGTCAGGAGAACATTGTTAACCTGCTGCAAACAATATGAATGGTTTAGAGTGACAGTTGTAGTGGGATTGAGAAATAAGTGAAAGGTAAGAGAATAAAACCAGTGAATATAAACTCTGCACTGAAAAAGAGATGAGTTGGGCAAAATTGAGGGAAGATTTGTATAGAATTGAGAAAACTTGATCATGTTTCTAGATCTGAGGGGAAAGAGTGAAAATGGGAGTATTTATAGAGTAAGATCCTAAAAAGAGACCAGAGGGGGTGAGATCAAGGACTAAATTTTTGTTAGTGGGAAACCTTTTTATTTCCCATCTTGAGTCCTGAGATAAAGAGGAGGAGGTGAATAGTGACAGAGAGATTGAAGAAATATCTGTTAGAAAATTTAGCTATTGTGAAGGCAGTTACATTTAGAGTGCAAAGCTGGGGCTGTGGATCAGGCAGGAGCCAGCAATTGCTTAGGGAGAGGTGCATAAGGCCTGAAATGTCTTCTTTCCATGAATAATTCTTGGCTTTTAAGAGTTCAGTATTAACTTTCATTTCTCTTTTTTGGGCAGGAACTCAAACATTTGATCTTGGAGGCAGCTGATGGCTTTCTGTTTATTGTCTCATGTGAGACAGGCCGGGTGGTTTATGTCTCTGACTCAGTGACCCCAGTTTTGAATCAGCCACAGTCTGAATGGTTTGGTAGCACACTCTATGATCAGGTGCATCCAGATGATGTGGACAAACTTCGTGAGCAGCTTTCCACCTCAGAAAATGCCCTGACAGGTACGAATTATGTGGATGGAAAATGAATGGGAAGTCCTTTCTTTTTTTCCTGAAACAGAAGAGGTGTTTTAGCTCTTCAGTTTGTTCATTGAATCTGGCAAACCTTCTAGAATTTTCTCCCATAATGAATCATTTTTTTTCTATCCACACGCAGATAATACAATTTGTAGCTTATTGTTAGAAAATGTTTCTTGAGTGACAGTGCACGTATATAAGTTAATTACTGTAAATAAAACAGTAAAAACCAAATCTACAATGAACTTTTTTTTTCCATTCTAAAAGAATTAAGTTATCCATGTTTCTGTCTCATTTGTATGGGTAATTACCTGGTATTTTTTTCTACCTGTTTGTGTATATCTTTGGCTTTATATACTGGGTTCTATTTAATAGATTTTTATTTTAAAGAGGAGTGGTTATCAGTATAAAAGTTGTTACTATTGTTTTTTGTATCTATACTATTTTTTGTCTTATTTGTTTTTTTCTTCACCCTATTTTAATGCTATTCAGTCCTTTTGCAGAGTTTGGCTATAGGAAACACATCTTCTTAAGCAACTCTGGAAAAAAATTTAAAGTGAAAGCAGATCAAAACTGGTAATTAAGGGGGGCCTGGGTGGCTCAGTTGGTTGAGTATCCCAACTCTTGGTTTTGACTCCGATTGTGATCTCAGAGTCTTGGGATCAAGCCCTGTGTCAGACTCCACATTGCGCTGGAGTCTGCTTGAGATTTCCTGTCTCCTTCTCCCTCTGCCCCTCCCTGTGCTCATGCACACACATGTACACATGTGTTCTCTCCCTCTCTCTCATTAAATAGATAAATAAATATATAGAATCTTTTAAAAAACTTGGTAATAAAATACAAGGAAGTCCATTATAGTTTTATTTATTTATCTTTATTTAAATTCAGTTAATTAACATATAATGTAGTATTGGTTTCAGAGGTAGAGGTCAGTGATTCATCAGTCTTATATAATACCCAGTGCTCATTATATCACTGCCCTTCTTAATATCTATCACCCAGTTACTCCATCCCCCCACTGCCCTCCCTTCCAGCAACCCTCAGTTTGTTTCCTATGATTAAGAGTCTCTTATGGTTTTTCTCCCTCTCTGATTTTGTCTTATTTTTTCCTCTCTTCATCTCTGATCCTGTTTTGTTTCTTAAATTCCACATACCAGTGAGATCATATGATAATTGTCTTTCTCTGATTGACTTATTTCGCTTAGCATAATACCGTCTAGTTCCATCCATGTCGTTTCAAATGGCAAGATTTTGGTTTTATTAATTGTGTTTTAGTTTTCCCTTCTTTTAGGTCTTTATGGGTTTCATGTTTCTAGTTCTTTTTTCCAAAAGTTGCCATTCATTTTTTTTTTTTTTTAAAGATTTTATTTCTTTCTTTGACAGAGAGAGCACACAAGCAGGGGGAGCAGCAGAGGGAGGGAGAAGCAGGCTGTCCACTGAGCAGGGAGCCTGAAGCGGGACTCACAGGACCCTGGGATCATGACCTGAGCTGAAGGCAGACGCTTAACCAGCTGAGCCACCCAGGCGCTCTTGCCATTCATTTCTATATAATAAAGGGAAGAAAATTTTGGCTGGAGATAGATATTGTGTTTTAATTTTTATTTTATTTTAATTTTTTAAAGATTTTGTTTATTTATTTGAGAGAGAAAGAACACAGAGGAAGAGTGAGAGGGAGAAGCAGACTCCCTACTAAGCGGAGAGCCTGATGTGGGGCTTGATCCTGGTACCCTGAGATTGTGACCTGGTCAAAGGCAGATGCTCAGTTGACTTGAGCCACCCAGGCGCCCCAAATTATTTGTTTTTAAACAATGACATTCCCTCAGTGTGCATGTGTGCACACACGTGCATGTGTATGTGTATAAAAATGAGACCCAAGAATGTAGCCTAGCCTCTTGCTTGCCAACACCACTTTCCACTCCCACCTTCCTTCCTTGCACAAGGTTTTCTCCAGTGCTGCCTTTGCATTTAAGAATAACATTCATTGATGGGGGTTGAGGTATTTTGGACTTGAAAAATATCCGTCCCCTACTTGGCCTATTCTTTTATAAACGAGATTGGAGGACATCAGTAGGATACTTATTTATCTTTGCCTCCAGTGTCTCTCCTGTCCCTCTTCACCACATACAAGAAAACACACCAGACTATTTTTCACATCATTTTTCAGGGCGTATCCTTGATCTGAAGACTGGAACAGTGAAAAAAGAAGGTCAGCAGTCTTCCATGAGGATGTGTATGGGCTCAAGGAGATCATTTATTTGCCGTATGAGGTGAGTGTCAGGCTGAGGACTGTGATTTGACATAAGAAAAATTAAGAGCAGGGGCTTTGATTCCTGGTTAGGTCAGTTAAACTTTTAAATCTGAGCTCTAGTTGGATTAAATTTAACTCTCAAGACTCACATGGATTATAACAGAATAAAATGTTTGATAAGGGAACTAAAATTTAATGAATTCCTCCTATGCCAGATACTATGATCAGAGACTTATTGCTGTCATTTCCCACATCTGTTCTTTGGGGTTGAATTCATGGTTACTGTTCTGCTGTTTAAAAAAAAAAAAAGAAATCCAGAGTAGTTGGATTCCAACATCTATAGTATTTTCCCAGTACATCACAAGACAACATCCATGTACTAGACCATATCTTCATTTTTCTTTTTTCCATAGAGTATTGATACTTTCTTATATCTTTTGGTTAGTATTTAGTGTTTATAAATTATACTTTTTTAGTATTCTGAAGAAAGTGTGGTACATTCTACATAGGTAGAAAAGATACCTCTTGAAGTCACAAAATAAGTTCAGGTCGTACAGTGGGAATTGCCTACCTTGTACTGAGAGGTTGCTTATTAGAAATGATGAGTAGGATATTAAGAAAGGTTTCCTGAGAGAGTTACAGAATTGAGTATTATTTGGCTTACTGGTTTAGAGTAACTTCTGAACCTAGACTACTAGGTTTGCCGCTTATTATCTTCTGACACCTTGAGCAGATTACATGACTATTTTGTGTTGTGATTTCATCTAATATTGGGAATTATATTAACCTCATAAAGTTGTTATAAGCATGAGATAATAAATATGTGTAAAGATGCTTGGAATAGTGCGTGGCACATATTAAACTCTAGGTAAGTTTTATCCATTATTTTAAAGAAATGAGATAAGGTAGAGAGGGTGGGAGAGGTTGTCCCAATATGTGGACACGGCCTGTGTACACGGCAAGAGCAAGATAAGTAATAAAGAAATGTGGCAAATAGATTGGGTTGTGGTATAGAACCGGAGTCTGCAAACCACAACTCTTTATTTGTAAATAAAGCCTCATAGGAACATAGCCATGTGCATTTGTTTATGTATTGTCTATGGCTGTTTTCCTGCTCTGATGGCTAGTTGCAACAGATTGTATGACCCACAAAAGTTGAAATATTTAGCATCTGGTCCTTTACACAAAAAGTATACTGACCCCAACATAGAGAATTTCTGCATTTGAAGAGTATGTGCAACATTTTGAACTTCAAATTCTGGGCAGTTCCAAGTTTTAGAAATATCAAGCCTGACTTCTTTATCCTTCTGTGTCTAGTTGTATCCAGAGCCCTTTTTTCTGGCTGTTAATGGATGGAAAGTTCTTTAATAGCACAGCTTAATTGCTTTTAATCTCTCCGTTCTTTGAAACAGGTGTGGTAATAGTTCGGTGGACCCAGTCTCCATGAATAGATTGAGCTTTGTGAGGAACAGATGCCGGTGAGATCCTAAACAATGAGAAACCAAAGGGATGGCCAATAACCTGTAAAGATCATCACTTTTTCAGCTATCTTAATGTAGTACTTCCTTCAGTAGCCCTCACTTGCATCCTTCACTTCCCAGTTACCTTTTTTTGGCAATGTTTTCCTGAACTTTTACAGCTTCTTTTGCTCATCTTGTTCAAAGAAGTTGCCCTGCCACTTTACCAACTTTCTTCCTGCTGCAGTACCTTTCTGTTTCTTTACTTTGGCAAGGGTCAGAAATATGGTGGTCACTTTTGGGTGGGAGAGGTAAAAAAGTGACCAGTTTTCTAAACATCCAAGAGCCTGAAGTTAAAGGTACTAAGCCAGCATTGCCTTTTAAATGTTACTGGGTAGGGTTTTCTCCTCACACATGTACTTCTTCTAGGAATGGACTTGGCACTGTGAAGGATGGGGAACCTCACTTTGTGGTGGTCCACTGCACAGGCTACATCAAGGCCTGGCCCCCAGCAGGTAGGAAAGTTGGATTTCTCCCATGGTGCAACAGGTTTGTCACAGAGTCTGAGAAAGTTAGCTAACATTTATCATGTATCTGGTGTGTGAAGTGTACCGTGGTATCAACTATAAGAAAATAGGAAAGAAAAAGCAGGCTCTTGCTCCTCCTTTATATTCCAGTTGGGGAGATGGGTTATTCAGACTTGAAAATGATTCAGTGTTGGCTGTGTCACAGAATGCAATTTTTAAAAACGTGCAGATTCATAATAATATATACTGAATACCTATTTTCTAAGTATTTGTGTGCAAAGAAACATTTGGCATTGAGTGCAGTTAATTTGGGAAAGCTTTTTAGTAGGAGCATGACTTTGAGGAAGAAGGAAATGACTTAATTATAGTAACTTGTAAGTGGGATTTTCTCTTTAAAGGCTTTAAATCAAGATGTGAGCACATTAGCTTTACTAGAACTTGAAGTCAAACAGAAAATGTGAGAAGGATGGTTGGGGTGCAGGGATCAGCCTTTTAAACTGGTTTGTCAGAATTTCCAGATCTTAGCAACTTTATTACTTCCCTGCTGGATGGGTGTAAATGGGAAGTGGGATTATAGGGAGAGGGAAACTAAGAGAAAAGGGAGGCAAGGTGGTATATTTGGGGAAGAGATTAAACTTTGTATTCGGAAAAACCTGGGCTTGATTCTGGCATTGTTACTTACTAATGGTATAACTTAGAGTAAGACACTTGACCGTTATAAAAAGAACCCCTCAGTGTTCTCATCTATAATTTGGAGATAATATATCCCATGTAGAATTATTTTGAGGATTAGAGTTAATGTAAGAAAAGCACTTAGCCCAGTGCCTGGCATATAGTATGCACTCAATAAATGGTAGTTAAGTGTAATTCAGAAAAATTCTAAGTGTAGTGACATTTGAGCTTTTTAGTTTATATACTGAATAAACCATACATATGCCATATATGGTCTTTTATATTTCTGTATTGCTCTCAAATAATATTTTTCTTGGTAAAAAGACGATATATATGCAAAGACTAGAGAGAAAATGCAACCTTCTTCCCTTTTCCACATAAAACATTGAAACTTTGGCTTCCCTCTTTCCAAAAGACATAAGTAACTAACTGTTGATGTTGGTTTAATTTCATTTTTGGTTGTTTGCTTATTTTAAAACCACAAGTTGGGCAAGACCTCTGTTCTCTGCCTGTGGTATAGTCATAGAATAAGTGACTGTCTTCATAGGTTTGGTTTGACCATCATAGTTTTATATATGGTAAATTCTGTGCAGTTGTTTATCTTTATTCTTGTTCAGCACTCTATTGTTTTAAAACTAGTCTCTTCGTACCTACATGTATTTTAAATCTTTTTTGATCTGAATTGAAGGTAATTGAGTTTGAGATCCTTCTTAAACCTTTTAACTTCACCTTCCTGAAGGTGTCTCCCTTCCAGATGATGATCCAGAGGCTGGCCAGGGGAGCAAATTTTGCCTAGTGGCCATTGGCAGACTGCAGGCAAGTATGAATTTTCCACATCTGTATTATCTGTTTTCTTTCCTTTTTCCTTTCTCTTTTTTAGTCTTCTTTGTATATTTACTTTTTTAAATTTAAATTCCAGTGTAGTTAACATATGGTGTCATATTGATTTATTAGCATATTAGTTATATGAGGTGTCCAGTATAGTGATTTAGCAATTCTTTTTTCTTTAAGAGAGGAAAAGAGGTGGGGGGGATGGGCAGAGGGAGAGGGAGAGAGAGAGTCTTAAGCGGGCTGTACACCCAGCACGGAACCCAGTTCGGGGCTTGATCTCATGACCCTAGATGATGACCTGAGCTGAAATCAAGAGACGCTTAACCAACTGAGTCATCCAGGTGCCCATTGATTCAACACGGGTATACCTTACTCAGTGCTCATCGTAAGTGTACTCTTGGGTTGGAGGATGAGTTAAATAGGTGATGGGTATTAAGGAGGGCACTTGTGATGGGCACTGGGTGTCAATAAATTCAACACCTGAAACTAATATTATACTGTATGTTAACTAACTGGAATTCAAATAAAAACTTGCAAAGGAAAAAAATGTACTTAATCCCCTTCGCCTATTTCACCTAACCCTAGACCCACCTCCCCTCTAGTAACTATCAGTTTGTTCTGTATAGTTAAGAGTCTGGTTTTTGTGTTTGTCTTTTTTATCTTTGTTTGTTTTGTTTCTTGAAGTCCACATATATGTGAAATGGTATTTGTCTTTCTCTGACTGACTTCTTTCACTTAGAATTATACTCTCCAGATCCATCCATGTTGCAAATGGCAAGATTTCATTACTTCTTATGTTTCTTTCTTATATTTCTTAAATATTATCTGAGTAATATTCCATTGTGTGTGTATATATATATGTATATACCCACATCTTTATCCATCTGTTGATGGACACTTGGGCTGCTTCCATAATTTGACTGTTGTAAATAATGCTGCAGTAAACATAGTGTATGTATCTTTTCAAATTAGCGTTTTTGTTTTTTTCTTCTGGTAAATACCCAGTAGTGGAATTACTGGATCATATGGTAGGTCTCTTTTTAATTTTTTGAGGAACTTCCATACTGTTTTTGCAGTGGCTGCATCAGTTTGCATTCCCACCAGCAGAGCATGAGAGTTCCTTTTTCTCCACACCCTGGCCAACACTTGTTTCTTGTGGTTTTTTTGTTTCTGTTTTTTTTTTCTTTAAAGATTTTATTTATTTATTTGAGATCGTGAGCAAGAGAATGTGAGCAGGGGCAGAGGGAGAGGGAGAAGCAGACTCCCCTGCTGAGCAGGGAGCCTGATGTGGGGCTTGATCCCAGGACCCTGGGATCATGACCTGAGCCAAAGGCAGATGCTTAACTGACTGAGCCACCCAGGTGCCCCACCTTTCTATTTATTTTTTTGCGTACCTGTTACTGGTTTAATTTGTGGTTACCATTAGGTTTGTGTATAACACGTTTTGCATATAGCAGTTTATATTAAGTTGATGGTTACTTATGTTTGAACTCATTCTTTATTCCTCTCCCCTCCCAAGTTTTAGGTATATTGGTGTCATATTTTACACCCTTTTATTTTGTGAATACCTTGACTGATTTTTATAAACATGCTTAATTTTACTGGTTTTGTGTTTCCTACTTTTCTTACTCCTACTTTTGGTCTTAAGAGTGCCCTGTAACATTTTTTAGAGGGCTGGTTTAGTGGTCATGAATTTCTGTAACTCTTGCTTGTCTGGTAAACTTTACCTGTCCTTCTGTTGTGAATAATAGCCTTGCTGGATAGAGCATGCTTGGCTGCAGGTTTTTCTCTTTTAGCACTTTGAGTATATCATGCTAGTCCCTCTGCCCTGCAAAGTTTCTTCTGAAAAATCTACTGATTACCTTATGGTTTTCCCTTGTATGTAACTATTTCTTTTTTCTTTCTGCTTTTAAAATTCTCTTTTTATCTCTACTTTTTACCAGTTTAATTACTGTATATCTTGGTGTGGACCTCCCTAGGTTGATTTTGTTGGGGGACTCTCTGTGCCTTCTGGATCTGGATTTTATTTCCTTCTCCAGATTTGGGAAGTTGTCAGCTATCATTTATTCAGATAAATTTTCTGCCCCCCCTTTCCTCTCTGTTCTTCTTCTGGGATCCCTGTAATGTGAATGTTCTTATGGTTTCTGGTGTCACTGAGTTCACTAAGTCTGTTTTCATTTTTATATTTTTCCTTCTCTCCCTCACTCTCAAGCAGGCTTGATTGCTTCCCATTATTCTGTCCTCCAGCTTGCTGATCTGTTCTTCTGCTTCCTCCAGTCTACTATTCCATCTAGTGTATTTTTAATTTTAGTTAATGAGTTTTTCATCTCTGATTGGTTCTTTTATGTCTTCCTGTCTTGGTTAAGTGTCTCACTGAGGTGGACACAAGTCCACTGTACTTTAACATCTCCATCGGTGGGCGCCTGGGTGGCTCAGATGGTTAAGCGTCTGCCTTCGGCTCAGGTCATGATCCCAGGGTCCTGGGATCGAGTCCCACATCGGGCTCCCTGCTCCGCGGGAGCCTGCTTCTCCCTCTGCTTCTCTCTCTCTCTCCCTCTCTCTCTCTCCCTCTGTCTCTCATGAATAAATAAATAAAATCTTTAAAAAAAAATAAAATAAAATAAAATCTCCATCGGTCATGTTACTTCTCTCTGTTTTGTTTAGGTCTCTTGCTTTGATATTGTCCTATTGTTTCATTTGGAACATATTCCTCTGTGTCCTCATTTTGTCTCTTTGTTTCTTTGTGTTAGGAAATTCAGGTACATCTTCTGCTCTTGAGAGTAGTGGCCTGCAGTGCAACGTCCCCTCTTCACCAGAATCTGGCACTTCAGGGTTGTCTCCTGTATGTGTTACGTGTGCCCTGCTGTTGTGGCTGAGCAGCTTTTGCCTTTAGTCCAGTCATTTGCAATGGTTCTCTGTGTCTATTGTGGGCAATGTTTGGTCTTTGTATTGTTAGTGGGCCAGTCTTGGGCTACCATGGGCTTAAGTTGAGTCAGACCAGGCATTTTCCAGATATAGTAGCACTGAACTGTAGGAGAATGCAGGGGTGGGGTGCATGGTGTTAGCAATGTTTGCAGGGGTCTGCTATGGAAGGAGACCTGGAGTTGCAGCCTGGCTGGAGGGGTTATGCCCACAGGTGTATGCATGGGTAGGGCATTCTGTTAGCAAGTAAAGTAGTGAGTGTTGGTATCACACGGGCTCCTGCAGGTGTCCATGTGTTTGTGCCAAGGCGGGGTGCTGGCAGGGGAGGGAAATGACACTAGCCAGCTCCTTCAGTACTGGAGAATTTTTCTAGTGATCCCTGCCCCTCCAGCACATGCTCTGAAATTAGTAAACAAATCTCCCTCCTGTATACCCCAGGTGTTTTTCAGAGTGCTGCTTCTATGCTGTATCTCCATGGGGCTATTTGTTGTGTTCTCTCTTTAAGGGTGGGGACTTAGTTTCCTCTTGCCCTCCCAGCTTTCCCATGAGCCTGCTAATTTTTAGTGTTCCAGATTTTAATCCCTGCTATTGGTAAGAATTCTTGAAATTCGGCCCCTCTGGTTTCAAAGCCAAATGTTAATGGGATTTGTCTTCCCCATGGGGCTCCCCGGTGTGAGAGTCCATTTTGTTCCCTTCTCTGTGCCCATGGAGTCCTTCCCTCCTGTGGACAGTCCACGGGTCCTTTTAGTGGATCCCTTTAGCTCCTGACTGCGTCTCTACTCTTCCTACTCTCTTCAGTGTGGCCTTTTCTCTACATTTAGCTGGGGAGAGCTTATTCTGCCAGTCCTTGGGTCCTTTTCTGGATTATTTACACTGATGTGGCTGTTACCTAGTTGTATCTATGGGATGAGGTAAGCTTAGAGTCCTCCTACTCCACCATCTTCCTTGGAAGTCCCATATCATCCCTTTTCAATGAGAAGAAATCTACTTCAGAACTTATTCATGTTATTTTTTTTTAATCTCTAAATATAAATGAATTCTGTGAAACTCCAGATTTTGGGAAGAACATGGCATTCATAGTTTGCTTCTCTCTTGGATAGCAGAATCTGAAAAGGATGAGAGAGGGAGAGAGATCTTTCCCCCTTATCTTTCATACTGTGAACTTCACAGTACTGAATTTTCTATTTCTAACTAATTTCTTCTGCTTCTATACAGGAGAAGATATATATATATATATTTTTAAGATTTTATTTATTTATTTGTCAGAGAGAGCACAAGTAGGGGGAGCGGCAGATAGAGGAAGGAAGCAGGCTCTCTGCCGAGCAAGGAGCCTGATGCGGGGCTCAATCCTAGGACTCTAGGTTCATGACCTGAGCTGAAGGCAGATGCTTAACCGACTGAGCCACCCAGGCGTCTCAGGAGAAGAGAGATCTTTTCATTTTATCATTACATGACTAGAAAAGTGGAATTATTTTTATTCTTCTCATAAAATTAGATAAGTTTTTTGGTTACTGGGGACTAATTTTCCAATCTTAATAAAGAACACAAGCTAGCTAAATGAAAATAGATGAGTTTTGGGTTGAATGAATTTTTATCTTCACAAAGTTGGTAAAGAGTACATGTATAGGAGTGGAACTAGCCCTTTTGCCCTCTCTGATTGTGATTGTCATTTTTTCCTTTCTGGATGAGATGTGGAAGCTCAGAAATTCCTAAAATTGCAAGCCTCATGCCTATGTATAGGACCATAAGGAGATGGGAAATGCCTCTGTGAAGAATGGTGTCATTTTATCTTGTTTTTCTCTTTACTTTCAGGTAACTAGTTCTCCCAACTGTACAGACATGAGTAATGTTTGTCAACCAACAGAGTTCATCTCTCGGCACAACATTGAGGGAATCTTCACTTTTGTGGATCACCGCTGTGTGGCTACTGTTGGCTACCAACCACAGGTGAAGAGCTGGAGCTGTTATGCCACTGATACTTAAGCCTGTTTTCCCTTGGCTTTGTTCAGATTATTCCAGTCAAGTATTCCAGAATAGCCAAAACATATCAGGCCCAGATCAGAAAAAGAGATGATCCTATTCCATCTGTAGTTAAATTTATTCTCAGGTTGCTACCGATGTTATTTATCCAATCTAGAAAAATATGGCTGCTATTACGTGGGAGCAGCGGGCATAAATATGTATTTATTTTTTGTTATTGATATTAATACAGATAATGCAGAAGTGTTCATTTTAATTAGTTATAATGGTATGACCATCGTTAGATAATTTTTGTAATCACTTAGGTTTGATACTTAGTAACCTACAAAATATGCAAGTTTGGCACTGGTTATTAGGATTTTATTGAGATTTCTCATTCAGCGGAGCAGGTAGCTATACCAAAGTTGAGAAATAAATCGTTATACAGACCTTCAAAACTGTAGCCAGGAGAGACTTCTGACTATGGCTCTGTGAAGAAGTTGGCAAAAAAGAGGTCTTGAAAAAGAACAAAGTTGGAGGATTTACACTACCTGATTCAACACCTGTTATAAAGCTGTTGTCATCAAGGTAGTGTGATAGCAGTATAAGGATAGATATATAGGTCAATAGATCAGAATAGAGTCTCTTTTCACATTTATGGTCAACTGATTTTCAACAAAGATGTCAAGACAGTTCAGTGGGGAAAAGATTCTTTCCAACAAATGTTGATGGAAAAGTTGGATATACCCCACACACAGAAGGACATAGACTCTTACCCCATACCATAGACTAGAGATCAACTCAAAAACATAAATGCACAAGAGCTAAAGTTAAAGAACTTCTAGAAGAACATAGGAGATTATCTTTGTGATCTTGGTTAGACAAAGATTTTTTCTGTAACATCAGAAGCATGGCTCACAAAAGAAAACTCTTAAGTTGGATTTCATCAGAATTAAAATTACCCTCTTAACAGGACATCATTAAAGTGAAACGACCATTCACAAACCGGGAGAAAATATTGCAAATCATATATTTGAAAAAGGATTGTATCCAGAATATACAAAAGAACTCTTGTAACTGATTAAGATAAACACAGAGTAAAAAAAAAAGGGGGGGGGGCGCACAAGATTTGAATAGACATTTCACCAAAGAAGAAACATGAATGGCATAAAAAAAGATGCTCATCATCATTAGTCAGTAGGAAAGTGCAAATTAAAACCACAATGAGATACCATTGTATGCCCACTATGAATGTGGGCATACAATGGAATAGAATGTGCACAGTGAGATATAGGTCCACTATAATCAAAAAGTGTTACAATAATGGGGAGAAATTGCAACTGTTATACTTTGTTGGCAGACCTATAAGATGGTATAGCCACTTTGGAAAACCATTTTGGAAAAATGGAAAAATAGTTTTGTAAGAAGTTAAATGTATACTTAACCCTACAACCTAGCAGTTCGATTTCTAAGCATTTACTCAAGAAAAATGAAACCTATGTTCACATAAAGATTTATATATAAGTGTTCATAGTTGTATTATTCACAGTAACCCCAAAGTGGAAAAACTGGAAATGTCCATTGACTAGTGAATGGATACACAGCTGTGAAATATCCATGTTAGAATACTGCTGAGTAATAAAAAGGAATATACTACTGATATGTGCAACGACACAGATGAGCTCCAAAAATTTTAAGTTACATGTAAGAAGTCAGACCCAGTAGACCACATATTATATGATTCCATTTGTGTGACATTTCTAGAAAGAGCACTAAAGCAGAGAGCAGGTCACTGGTTGGCTAGGAGGTTGAGAGCAGGTGTTGACTACAAACAGGCAAAAGGGAACTTTTGGGAGAAGGGGACATGTAAAACTGGATTTGTGGTAATAACGGTGGTTGTACAACTGTATAAATATGTAAGAGGCCATCAAATTGTAGATTTAGAGTGAGTGAATTATATGTGTACATTAGACCTCAAATCTATAAAAATGCAGCTAAAAGGGGTGCCTGGGTGGCTCAGTCGTTAAGCGTCTGCCTTCGGCTCAGGTGATGATCCCAGGGTCCTGGGATCAAGCCCCGCATTGGGCTCCCTGCTCCGCGGGAAGCCTGCTTCTCCCTCTCCCACTCCCCCTGCTTGTATTCCCTCTCTCGCTGTGTCTCTGTCTGTCAAATAAATAAACAAAATCTTTAAAAAAAAATGCAGCTAAAATAAATATATAATGTTCTGAAAGACAAAAATGTTTTAGAGGCCATTTGCTTAGCAGGTTCCATATTCTTTTGTTTTTTTTTTTTTTTTTTCCCCTCCACACTTACGATAGCCTTTGGCTAAAGACAGGAGAAATAAAATTCAAGTCATTTGCTGATAGGCCAGGAAAGTTAGATCATAGAAGTCTCCATCTTACTCTTCTTTTTTCACTTTTAGGAACTCTTAGGAAAGAATATTGTAGAATTCTGTCATCCTGAAGACCAGCAGCTTCTAAGAGATAGCTTCCAACAGGTAACTTTTTCCCCTGGTTTGGATCTGAATAATATTTTTATCTAATATTTGTTATCATATTAATTCCTCAAACATTTATTGACCACTGATTAAGTACTGTGACAGGCATCATAATCTTATGTTCTTTAGTACAAAACCTATACCAGAAAAGGACCAGTATTTTGAAACTATGGATAATGTCCAAGGTATTTTGGCTTTGGCTACTCACTGTCCTGTATCCAGCTAGCTGTATCCAAGAGACTCTTTAAAGTACTTAAAATATTCTAGGCCTCACTGAACTGTGGGTGGTGATAGAAGTATTCATTTCACGGTTCTTTTATAGATCAGTAAGAGTTAACTCTTCACAAATAAGATTTTTTATTTGTCACCATTAAATGTCTGAATTTTAAACAGATTCTTGGACTGGTAGCTCATATTCATCAGCTAGTTCAACTTTAGTACCAGTCTTATCCCCAGTGGCTTTTCCAGAACTAATACCTTCACTGTGAAGCTCCATGAGCTTTTCCAGTTCAAACTTGGGCTTCTTCAGCATTTTTACTTGTGTTACAAAGACATCATGGAGTGGACAGATTGGCAAGCTTTTTCTGTGTCTTTTCTGATGCTGTCTGAAATCAACTTATTGACCACTTCTTTCAAGTCATTTGTCTGCACCTCTCAGGTCATGATTTCCATTATCATTTTCCAAATTTGGCAGACCTGTTGGTTGCATAGGTCTTCTGAATCTGATCATTGCGTTTTTTAGTAAAACCAGCACAAAATAGGGGCGCCTGGGTGGCTCATTTGATTAAGCGTCCAATTGATTTCAGATCAGGTCATGATCTCAGGGTTGTGAGATCGACGCCCGGGTTGGGCTCCTCGCTCAGCCGGGAGTCAGCTTGAGATTCTCTCTCTCCCTCTGCCCCTCCCCCCATCTGTGTACGCACACACGCAGTCTCTCTCTCAAATAAATAAATCTTTTAATAAAATTCTGTTAAAACCAACACAAAATAGACAAAGCAAATAACCATTGGTAGTCTTAACATCAACATGAGATTCAAAAAAAAAACCATGAGCTTCAATCGTCGTTTGCCATTTTTTGACCATGGAGCAGATTTTGTCATGGGTAAGATCCATGCCATGGAAATTAGGCATTTTTGCCCTGAACATCCTCAGTAACTAGCTTGAATTTTCTTTTCTTTAAGATTTTATTTATTTATCTGACAGAGAGAGATACAGCAAGAGAGGGAACACAAGCAGGGGGAGTGGGAGAGGGAGAAGCAGGCTTCCTGCTGAGCAGGGAGCCCGACGCGGGGCTCGATCCCAGGACTCTGGGATCATGACCCAAGCCGAAGGCAGACGCTTAACCGACTAAGCCACCCAGGCGCCCCTAGCTTGAATTTTCTAAGTGCAACTTCATCATTCTGCAGATCAGTACGGCTCACTTCAAAAACATGATCCTGAGGCCATCAGATGTGATTTTGGTTCATTGAGTTCTCATGACTAGTGTTCTTCCAAAAATTTCTTATATTGAACATAGCTGGTGCCTTCACATCGTACCTGTTTTTCTTAGAAAATGGATCAACCACTTTCTTCTTGGCTTCCTTTTTTTTTTTTTTTTAAGGATTTATTTATTATTTATTTTGAGAGAGTGAGAATGAGAGAGAGAGAGAGAGTACATGAGAGGGGGGAGGGTCAGAGGGAGAAGCAGACTCCCTGCTGAGCAGAGAGCCCGATGCGGGACTCGATCCCGGGACTCCAGGATCATGACCTGAGCCGAAGGCAGTCGCTTAACCAACTGAGCCACCCAGGCGCCCGTTCTTGGCTTCCTTTTTGGTGCCTTTTGTTAGGTGCTTGTTCTTGCCATCCTCCATGGCACTGCTCAGGAAGCCAAAAAGCAAGAGTTCACTTATTTGTAAGCTCTTTTTTCTTTTAAATCTTCCTAAGAAACTCAAAAATTAGTCAGCTTAAGTACAAGAAAGCAAACCTTGGAGAGGAAATCACTGAAGACAGAAATGAAAAGAAAGGAAATATGAACAAAAACCATTTCCACCATTGGCATAATCATACTTCCACTCATGCTCCTCGTACAGTGTAAGAAGACCATGGTACATAGATATATACTTCCCCCTCCAGGAGGCTGACACAAGCCGCCTGCTCTCAGAGGCAGAAACATTCCAGCGCACACAATCCCACATGATACTTTGCCCCTGTAACTCAAGCTGACTTTAGGCACCTAAGTATTCCCCCTGAGGGAGTGCACCGTTCCTGGAGATACTCTAATACCAGGTTGATGCATGGAGTGGACGGAACAATCTCCCATTCCATCTCCCTGCTCCAAAAATCCATTTAATATATTGTCCTTGGATAGAGGACATATCAGATATTAAACTGATACGAACAGATACTACACTTGAACTTAGCCAAAAGGCTGAGAATAAACTGATTCTGTTATTTTCAGACACCAGATTCTGAAAATACCTGGTGAATTTAATTTCAGTACAGGTTTGGCTTTAGGAAGGAGTTCTTTATATTAGACTGATTTCCCTCTTTGAGCCTCAGTAGTGTTCTTACACAATAGGTATAATAACAGTACTTAAATTCACAGGGTTATTGGGAAGATTAAGATAATGCATTTAAAGCACAAAGCCTAATTTCTAGAGAAAATCAGATGATGGCAGTAAAATGTCTCTCTGTCTCCTGAGTCCTCAGCATTACCAGTTCCATGCACTCAGCTCTCAGCTGCAGCTCACAGAAGAATCACATTTTGTATATGTGTGGGCTCAGAAAAACCATTCAGAAAAACTATTCTGACTTCTGTTGAATCCTTTCTGAACTAAGAACATGAAACTTCAGCAGTGGGAGGAGATATTGTACAGTGTATTTTTAATTCTTGAAATTCCTAATTCTGACCACTTTTGGCCACAGAGTATCATTTCATCACTTCTGGAAAATGTTTATTCCAATACAGCTTTAATGGCTCCTGTATACTGTACATAATCTCAAGGTTATTATTCTGACATTAGTTGCTGCTGTGGTTCTAGGTTACTTAGGTAAAGGTGCTTTTTAATGTGCAGTCTCCAGCTGCTTACTTAGCTGCTGATTTCCTGATTTTGATATTTTCTTAAGTCTAGTTGGATTTATATTTCTTTTTCAGTAATAAATTTAGTTATTTCCAACAAAGCCTGTTTTCCTTTTTTTTTCTTCTCCGTTTTGGTTACTGCAGTGGTGTGTTTCACACTTGACTTGTGAAAAGTGTGTGTGTGTGTATTTATAAATGTGTGTATGTATATATAAAATGCCATTTTATTATTGCTAAGTGAAGTATGTCCCATTTTCTGCTGTAATTATTTCTCAGCTTTAATGTCAGCAGTTATTTCCACACTTAAACACAAATATT